AAAAATAAAAACAAATATTGTATATTAATGCATATATACGGATTCTAGAAAAGTGGTGTTGATGAACCTGTTTGTAGGGAAGGAATGAGATGCAGACATAGAGAATTGACTTGAGGATACAGCGGGGGAGAGAAAGAGGGAGACAAATGGAGAAAGTAGCATCAACATACATACACTACTGTGTGCAAAATAGATAGCTGGCGAGAAGTTACTGTATAACATAAGGAGCCCCGTCTGGCACTCTGTGATGACCTAGAGAGGCGGGATGAGGGGAGGAGAGACAGGCTCAAGATGGAGGGGATATATGTATAATTATGGCTCATTTGCATTATTGTATGACAGAAACCAAAACAACATTGTAAAGTTTTTTGTTTTTTTTTTTAATATCCTTATGGGTGAGAAACTACTTCTCCATTAGCTGCATTTCAATTCTTCTATCACCAAATGTTGTTTCCAAAAAACAGTAACTGTATTTTCAAGTAACAGGACAGAAATGAGTTAATTTAAGAAAAAGTAGATGAAATCTGGCCACTCCTACTGGCCTGGAGCAAACAGGGTTATGACAGGTCAGTGCTCTTCTCTCAAGCATTTCTCTGTTTCTCTTTGCTATTCTCTGTTTCTACCTTCTACTTCACATGGATGGTAGCCTTGGGCCAGGAAGGCAGTGAAGTGTAGAACTTCCAAATAAAATCAGCCAGACATGAACTGAGATGAGGCTGGAACTCATGTGACATTTCCATGAATCTCTGAACATGTGTGGAGGTACTGCAATGGTGGGTGGGCTTATCACCTGCTCTAACTTCACTTGACTGCAAGTGTGTAAGTCACAGACCCAATATTCCATAAGACTGGAATACCAAACTCAAATGAAGTAACTTTAAATGTCCTTTATTGTGAATTGGTCATTGGTCAGACCCAAATACAGACTTTTTGCTTCCTTTTGTTTTATTCTGTGTATGTGTGTATGTATATTGACAGACAGCAACATTTTCAGAAAAGAATTAGCAAAATAATGAGGGTTCTAGAAATCTAAAAATGATTATTATCTTGTAAAACTATTAAACAAGACAGGAGACAATTTATTAAATATTTTCTTCAAAGGTAGGATTTGGCTTAAAAGAACAGAAGTTACTAGAGGTTATTTTGAACCAGTTGCTAAAATTGGTTTAAATTTTAATTTATAAGCTAGAATTTTCTAATACAAATTGCCTGCCATACTGTTAAATTTTCTCTGTGGGTATTCAAACAAATTGAATGATAATTCTGAGAAGGAAATTGAAGAACCTCCTTTGTTTACAGGAGAATACATTAGCTATGCTTTCCAACTCTCACTTCTTTAAATTTTTATTCTCTTGTTTTCTTTTGATTTTAGCACACATGGAGGTATTGCAAACAAGGTGCCACCATAAAAACTTTTTTGCTTAAAGTAATGAAAAGAGAAGTTTCTTAAGTAAATATCACTAATTCTATAGTTCAGTACATTTGCTCTGTCATATCCTACTCTTTGCAACCCCATGGACTGCAGCACGCCAGGCTTCCCTGTCCATCAGCAACTCTCAGAACTCACTCAAACTGATGTCCATTGAGTCGGTAATGCCATTCAACCATCTCATCCTCCCTCGTCTCCTTCTCCTCCTGCATTCAACCTTTTCTATCATCAGGGTCTTTTTCAGTTGAATCAGTTCTTCGCATCAGGTAGCCAAAGTATTGGAGCTTCAGCTTCAGTAACAGTCCTTCCAATGAATATTCAGGATTGATTTCCTTTAGGATTGACTGGTTTGATC